TGTTCATTCCTGTGCATTCAAGGGATTGCTGGCTTAGTCTGATACTGTCACCGTGGGAGAAACACTGCAGTTCCTAAAACTGGAGGCTGAAGTTCTTGGGACCCTCTTGCTCTAAGGAGCAGCAGGAGAAGTGGAGGTTGCTGCTCCTGGCTTCTAATAGATACCACTTAGTAACTAAATATTTAGAAAACAATCCCCCTCCTGACCTTCCCTCACTTTTTGCATTAATGCAAATAATAATTGGTCTTTATTCTTATGTGCTAGTGTAACATTGCCATGTTCACACTGCCTATGGACAGCGTTTCTGCAGTCTGTAAATATGTGTACTAAAATTTATTTCCTCGTTTTGTTTTGTTTTACAATGTTTGTTAGATTTGCAAATCTTGATTTTGGGAGGACCAACAGTGCGACAAGATTCCTTAAAGCACCTAGAACTGTCTTACTGAACTCTGTATGATTATGCAAACTGTATGATTATGGGATGATTCCATCTTCTAGCAAATGAAGAAAAAGGTTATTAGGAGTAGTCAGCATGGATTCACCACAGGGAAATCTTGCTTGACCAATCTGGTGGCCTTCCATGATGTCATCACTGGCTGAGTAGATGGGGCTAGAGCAGTGTCTGTTGTGTACCTTAACTTCAGCATGGCTTTTGACACTCAGTAGGAGGTATGGGACAGACAAGTGGACAGTGAGGTGGATTGAGAACTGGCTGAATGGCAGAGCTCAGAGGGTTGGGATCAATGGTATATAGAATGGTTGGAGGCCTGTAACTAGCAGGATCAGTGCTGGGTCTGATCTTGTTCAGCTTCTTCTCAATGACCTGGATTGAAAGGATGGATTTCACCCTCAGCAAGTTTGCTGATGATACAAAGCTGGGAGGAGTGAATGGCACACAGAAGGCTGTGCTGCCATTCAGCAAGACTAGGACAGGATGGAAAGCTGGGGGGACAGGAACTTGTGAGGTTCATCAAAGGCAACTGCAGTTCTGCACTTGGGGAGGAATAACTGCACACATCTGTACAGGTTAGGGGCTGGAAAGGAGCTCTGCAGAGAATGACCTGGGTGTCCTAGTGGACAACAAGTTGGCCATGAGCCAGCAGTGTGCCCTTGTGGCCAAGAGGGCCAATGGGATCCTAGGGTGCACTAAAAAGAGCGTGGCCAGCAGGTCAAGGGAGGTGATCCTCCCCCTCTACTCTGTCCTAGTGAGGTCTAAATTAGTCTAAATGTCTGCTGTGTCCAGTTCTGGGCTCCTCAGTCCAAGAAAGAAGGGGGATTTGTAAAGAGAGTTCTGTGGAGGGCCACAGAGACAATGAGGGGCCCATAGAGCATAGCTCTTATAAGGAATGGCTGAGTGACCTGGGACTGTTCAGTCTTGAGAAGAGACCTCTTCAATGCTTATAAATATCTAATGGGTTAGAGTCAAGTGGATGAGGACGGGGTCTTTTCAGTGGTGCACAGCGGTAAGACAAGGGGCAATGGGCAGAAAGTGGAACATACAAAGTTCCATACCAACATGAGGAAAAACTTCTTTACAATGAGGGTGACAGAACATTGGAACAGGCTGCCCAGAGATGTGGAGTCTCCTTCTCTGGAGATATTCAAAGTCTGCCTGGACACTTTCCCACCTGGACAAATTGTAGAGTACCTGCTTTAGCAAGCGGGTAGACTTGATGATCTCCAAAGGACCCTTCCAATATCTATGATTCTGCAATTCTACCAGTGAGTGCTGTGGCATATACAACATTCTGTGGAGATCTGTCACCAAAAAGCCTAGGCAAGTAAGACCAGACAACAGTGACTAAAGACAAAGTGGAAATGCAGAGGTAAAAGTGATGCCTGGAGAGTGTGATATTGGGGCACGAAACATCGTCTGCACAAGTGACTTTCAATCAACTCTTTGGGTTGACAACTGCAGGACAAGGGGAAATGGTTTTAAGTTGAGGGAGGGGAGATTTAGGCTGGATGTCAGGGGGAAATCCTTTACAGAGAGAGTGGTGAGGTGCTGAACAGGCTGCCCAGAGAGGTTGTGGATGCCCTGTCCCTGGAGGTGCTCAAGGCCAGGTTGGATGGGGCCCTGGGCAGCCTGGTCTAGTATTAAATGGGGAGGTTGGTGGCCCTGCATGTGTCAGGGGGGTTGGAGATTCATGATCCTTGAGGTCCCTTCCAACCCTGGCTATTCTGTAATTCTGTGACTTTCTGAATAGAGGATTGCACAAACTGAAGAAAACAGCAGTATCCTGCTTAGGTGTGTAGCTCAGGAATTCTGTCTGTAGCTGAAATGTAATGAAGTTTAGTGTGGAGGATGTTGCTTCCTGATACTTTCCAGTGAAAAAAAGGACATGAAAATGCGACAGTTATATCATTTCAGTATCCGAGTACCTCACAACTATTTTTTCCATGTGTAAATTCTGCTCTTTCCATATATATATGATATCTCTGAAATATGGAATTGAATCATCACAAAATCCGAGTACAGAGACCTGGGTTCTCAAAGTCACCCAGAAACCTGCATCCCGCTGATATAAATGAGAAGAAAAAGCGAAAAAGACTCTTCAACTAAATGAATTGTTGCAGATATACTAAAAATCCGTGCAGACAGTGATATCACAAAGTCTTTCACCGTGTATCCACCGTTTTACCAAGTGGGCCAATACTGATTCCTAACTGTACTTTAGAAGGACTTCATAATTGTAAAATACGTGAAAGAAAAGCAAGCAGAATGAGTAATTCCTAGTTGTCCTAGGAACACGATAGTAATGAACTGCTGTTCATAACTTCTTTTTCAAGGTAATTTTCTCTGAGGCCACCCATGGGATTCTGTGAAAGCCTTAGTTGACTGACTCACTTTAGCAGACCAGACAGCTGCTGAAATCTCTAAAAAACTCAGCTCTTAAGGATTCATTTCTTGTATTAGAAGAGACAGGTGAGCACAAATCTGTAATATTTGCCTTACCTGAATTGCAATATTGTAGTCTATTGATTTTGTCAACTTTTTACCCTCTCCCCCAGTTGCTGCTAGTGTCTAGCTTTAGACACTTTGACTCAATAAGGCAGAATGTCCAAGATTTTATGTTCTAATACACAATTACGTCTTCAAAGCATGCTAGCTTCTAGAAAATACCCCACAAAGGGTCATTTCATTAGACACCTGTCTGTGCTTTCAGGAGCTGGATCACTGTCAGCATCTATGCTCTTGAAGGAGTGGGAGCAGCTTCTCTTCCTATATCTGGCACCTCAGGTAGGACAAACTTGGATCATAAACTCAGAAGATAGATCTACATGACATGCCTGCAACATATACCCTTCACAACCATGGCATTTAACAATTCCGAGCACACAGAATCATCCACACAGAACCTGAGAAAATACTTACGTGATGTGAGCAACTTGATCTAGTAGGTGTCCCTGTCCATGGCAGAGAGCTTGAACTAGATTAAATGGTGCTCCCAATCCAAACCATTCTATGATTTCGTAAGCAAGGCACTTTTGTTTTCCTCCTAGAGAGACTTGGCAGACCTGGAAATAAGGAATTAATCAAGAACCTTGTTATACTTGGTAGACTTTGGTGGCATTCTTAATCACATGAGATGGTCAGAGGACTCACCTCCTGATTTGAGAAACCACGTCCTTTTACAACAATCTGCTTTATTGCAAATTACTTTATTCTGTGTTAGCAGAATTATACTGTAGTAACATACAGGGAATACCAGTAGCTTTAAAGAAAGAACAGTTTTGTTGTCTGGCATGAATTTCTTCATTTATGGCAAAAGAAGAGGATGAGGCACACAGTTCTTCTTTGATGGAGTGAAGTGGGCTATGGACAGTGGAGCTACAACTCCTTAGAAGCAGAAAGCAGCCATAATAGAGAAGCAGATTTCGTATAAGATGAGTCACTTGTCATTGGTAGAATCCTGAAGGCACAGAACAAGGCACTGAAGATCCACTTGGAAATTTTCTTTGTTTTAGAAACACTGAATCATAGTATTCTTATAATCATAGAATGGTTTGAGTTGGAAGAGCACTTAAGAATCATCTGTTTCCAGTCCCTGCTATGAGCAGGGGCACCTTCCACTGGACCAGTTTCTCAAAGCCCTATCCAGCCTGGCCTTGAACATCTCCAGGGCTGGGCATCCACAGCTTCTCTGGGCAGCCTGTTCCAGTGCCTCATCACCCTCTGCGTGAAGATTTTCTTCCTAAGATCTATTCTAAATCTCCTCTCTTTTAGTTTATAACTATTACCTCTTGTCCTATCACTGCAGCCCCTGATAAACAACCCCTCCCCATCTTTCTGGTAAGCCCCCTTTAACTACTGGAAGGCTGCTATAAAGTCACCCTGAAGCCTTCTCTGCTCCAAGCTGACCAATCTGAAATCTCTATCCTAGGCTGAAATCAACTTCTGGGACTGTCATTTGTCAGTGAAAATAGGCAACAAAAATGCATATATCATTATTCTGGAAATTACATAGGAAGGAGATCAAGAAGCTCTGGATTCTCCTACCCACTCAGAACAGTTCTGATGGCTCTCTGTCTAACAGCAACTAGCAGTGAGTTTTTAAAAGGCAACAGCCCATGGAAAAGAAGATCAGCATGTAACTTATTTGTCTATTGCAGTCTACTGCTTCTGTCCTGAATTCTTTGCATGTGTGAGCCCTGTTCATCAGAAACACCAAAAATGATGTAGTTCAGTATGTTGGGCTCTTTTTGATGTTACATTTTCTATGCTCTAGGGGGAATAAGAAATGCTAAATTTTACTTATTAATAAGGATCAGCATGGGAAAGATCTCCTAGTACTGAACACTAAGTCATGAGATTTATGAAAGCAGTCTTTTTGCAACGGTATGACAAATTCTATATGTAAACAGATCACTCCCACCCCACAGAAGCAGAGATATAACATGCCTTTTGTTCAGAGATTACCATGTTTAATTATTCTTTTTTTTTTTTTTTTCAATAGCTTAATCATGTATTCAGTTAAATAAAGTAATAAACAAAAGTGTTTGAAGTGAGGCAATATTGTCTTTATGTTATTTTTCAGTTGTGATCAGGTATCTGTGGGACATGGAAAACTAAAATCAAACAACATACATCATCTTTAATTCTCTAACAAAATTTAGTGCCAAATTCTGCTCTCAGGTATGTTTCTATAAAGCAGGATCCATCGTGGCACGACAGAACAACGGCATATTTCTGGGTTTAGAAAGGGCAAAAGGTAAGAAGTTGTTCTCACCTCTTAAAGGCTCGGCCCACACCAAACACTGAGCTGACATGCACCATCCCGCTGACCTGGTGCGAGCAGGTGCAGCAACACTCATTGCAAACAAACTGATCAGATTTCACCAGATTGCAATTTGGCTAAGTGACTTTAATTGGCCTGCTTCAGTAACTGAGAGCACAGTTTGGCTCCTTTCACGGTGAGAAGGCAGTCAACCAAACACAACTTTCACCAGGCCCCAGATTCTGGTCCCAGATTTCAACATACAATATTACATCGATCAAACGAACCATAGAAGTTACTTATCATTTTACTGTTCCTTAACACATTTCACACAGTCCTGCAGCGAGCAGAATCACAGGTGAACCTCAGAACATACAGAGAGCACAACTACTACACTGGACATGAAAAGGAAATTTTATTAAACATGTTTACATAATATGAGTTGGAAGTTCATTTAAAAGCACAGGGGAGTGTTAAGACAAGTGGTCAGAATAGAAAGTTACTATCGAATTATAACTAGTTGGTTTTTGGCCACTAAGACAGAACAGGATCTAGTAGTAGTGCACCAATGCTTGAGTTCTTCCTGCTCAGCAGGTCGAGCAGTACCAATCTGTGCCCTATGGAAAGATGGGCAGAGTAATTCCAACGTGTTGAATAATAATAAATAGTTCACTTGGTGCAGGCAGTATGTCTATGAGTTAAAACCTAGTGTGTACACAGTTTCTACATGTGTTACAACCCCACAGTAGGAATCTACACCAAAATATTTATTAGAAGGAATTTGGTCCATACTACATCACGTTTTCCATAGGGTAAAAAATAAAGTCCATCTATAGACATTTAGCACCAGACTCACAGACCTAGCCTGGCTAAAACCTGCAAAATGTCTATAAGAAAAATGGATGGCTTAGATTTCTTGGTTACTTCAGTATTGTAATTACGAGCAAACTGTACAAGTACATGCAACATACAAGCTGGCCTATGTGGAACTAACATACATTATTAAATAACCTTTTTCATCTCTTTTTACAAAACGTGCATGCAGCTTTGAACAGTTCCAAGTCATGCTGCTCTATTTGTGTGACCACAAAATCGAATGGCCTGTAAAAGGAGGGGAAACATAACAATGCACCTGCAGAATCTGCAGTTTTTAGCACATTTACAGGATATCACAAGGGATTTCAAGGCCAAGAAGAACTCAAATGAATAAAAAGCAAATTGAAATTTGACTTTTTTCTCCAAAAAGTAAGATATCTTGCGTTAAAAAATCAAGCCTTGTGCTTGCATCAATCTCAAAGAAATGTAAACTAAAATTTGATAAAAACATTAGTAAGTGCAGAATATTTCAACTGGAATTTCCAGTGAAACACTGAACAACTCATACCATGCTCTATCCAGGGCAGACAGGTGTGTCTGAAGCGACACACGTGAGAGAAGCCTGGGTACAGCTGAAAGTGTCATATGCTCAATCCATTCCTGGTCAACGTTTTGGGAAGTCAAATATACATTTATACACAGAAACGTAAGTATTCCCTCTCCATTTCTAGGAGGAAAACTGCATTACCAGTAACATATTCTATGTCAAAATTAAGAATAAAGCTGCTTTATACCAGTCCCCAGCATTAGTTGCAGAATTCTTCAAAATTCTTCCATGCAAAACATCATAAACATAAAAGTTAGTATATATAATGCAAACATATCTGCTTTTTACAAAGAAAAAGTGGCACTGTGATGATTAGTTACTTTTAAGAATATAACCTTGGTTGGTCATTTGTTCTGGGTTCCCACATGGGAGACTTTGAAGCACCAGAACCAAGAAATGATTTGAACGTGCTGGAATCATAACTGGCTGCTGAACACTTTAACGATGCCTACAGAGATATGCTTCAGCCCTTTTTTTTTGTTTGGTTTAGAAAAAGAAAGGAAGGGTCTCTGTTAGCGTTGTGAGGACTTCTACAAAACTAGCAGAATCACATGGCAAAAAACTAGTGGAAGTAACAAATACAGAAAAACTTCTGAAACACCAGGAAGTTAACACTGCTTGAGGGCTCTGTCAAAATGTGAAAAATACAATGTTGTTAACAGAGTGAGAGCTTCCAGTTTGGCTCATATTTGACTTAATTTGAATCTAAAGATCCCTCTCTCTCTCTCTCTTTTTTTTATTTTTTTTATATTTTTTTGTTTGGCTTTGGATCATTAAAAGCATCAGAGATAGACAGACAGTTTGGCTGTATGTTATATACTTTTGTTCCATCAATGTAAGCCGTCTCTTGACAAACAATTCAGACATATTTTTGGATAACTACTACAAGCAAAAACAGAAGTGATTGTCTCTCTCCAACAGTGTTTTTGATCGTGTGAATATCTGGTTCCAATCGTTATCCTGGGTGATGTTTTATTAGGCAGCACCTGCTTCTATGACCTAATGCAGGGAGGCCCAGTTGAACTTTCCAGAGACGACTGGGAAGCTCTGCGTGTCAAGGGAGTCAAGGTTGGATCCACTAGTGATGAAGGTGGGAATAATTTATACCAGCCTATTACCACACTGGACAGATCTAATTCCTCCAGAAGGATCTGGGCAACACCCATGAAGCATTTGTGATCCATTCGGCCATAGTCTCCCCAGACTATTACCTGTAAGAACACAAGATACAGGTTCAGCCTGGTTCAAAGAGCCATGCTCACTCCTGCTGTATATCACGATGTATATAGTAAGGAAAATGTTTTTCTTAAGGGTGAATGATTGCTTCCTCTTATGAGAGAACTTAATGGCAGGACAGGAGCAAGAGTCAACAAAAGAGAAATGTTTAATACAGACAGACATTTCACAGGTCAGAAATCACAAGCCATGAGGATGTGTTTGCTGGTATTTAGAAAATTAAATACTTAGTGAGTTGGAATGGGTTTGCATATCTTAATTAAACTTAAGTAAACATACAAGTGCTTTACCAAAAGACAGCCTAAATTGGATTTTGGAAGGAACTGACCTGAAGGACTTTACCCTGTGGACTTTCATCAAAAACTAGTGTCTGTTGGTACAAAGGATCAAGGGTCTTCCGTGCAATTCTTGTCTTCTTCTTTGCTATACATGCTCCATTTTCCAATAAATAAACTTTGACATATGGAGCTGCAAACAAAACACCATTAATTTTATGTTTGGACTTAAAAACTTCTATGTTGCACATCTGAGCTGGAGGACAGATGCCATAAAAGGAAGATGAGTAGAAAGAACACGACATGCTATGTTTGTTGTATAGTCTGAATACAATTACACTTGTTAAATAAACGACACAGACCATAAGGAACCCATTTCATTTTTATAACCCTTAAATTTAATGACCCAAGATGGTACTAATAACAATTCTGTTTCACTGTTTCATCTGTCATTCTAAAAACACTTTCCTTTGCCAGGAATTAACTGTCTCTGATAGTTAAGCTGGAGTCACTATGTAGGGGTCAGAGATACATCACAACAGAAGACTTAAATATTTCATTGAAAGGAATATTTAAAGCTAAGTCATTCAGATAACACAGACACTAACTGCTCTTTTGTCTTAGGCTCCTAATGAGGTTGCAAAGTACCATTTTGCCAAAGCGCTATCTAAAACAAGAGTTCCTGTTGTTATAGTGAGCAGTGCTTGTAGCAATTATTATATATCTCTCCTAATGAAGATTTCTATAAATAACTAGGACATTAAAAATATTCTTATAAAATGATATTTCATTCATTATACAGATTACTGACACAGGCACTACCATAACATGCAAGCATACAGAAGACTATGACTTGCAGGTCTACTAAGCTGTTTGTTCAGAGCACAGTCATCTGCTCTTCATCTCATTTTGGTGGGGAACAAACACAAAGGACTTCACGTGCATTGATAAAGCCTTTCTGAGAGATATGACTTGCCTAAAACACATAGGAATACTTCTACAGATGTTCTGTCCAGAATGGGTTTTGAATTGCTAAGACTAATTCCTTGAAAAGTGACATGCAATTAGCAGATCCATGTGGTAGGAAGTTGACTGATAACAAGGATATATGTCCATGCATACATTCCTTGCAAATAAAATGTATTTACATCTAACAAGGTGCTTAAAAAGCCTCCAATCCCCAATTCACCAGCATATTTCATATTCCTGATTTCTTTTCACGTATTGTTTATTTTTCCCTTACCTGGGGTAGATTTGGAGCCAGGTTTTTGTGTGAGGCCACGGGCTCTAATGACCTCTACTTCTAACTGGCCCTTCTTATCCACCATGCCAATCTGGATATCACCTGAGGGAGAAGAAGAACATTTCAGAGAAGCAGAACAGCCTGGGAGATATGAGAATAAGAAAGAGAAACAGAAAGGTTAGTGTTCTATTGGTCTGCTCCATGAGTGTGCTTGTCACCTCTCCCGATCCCCTAAATTTATCTGTCCTTGACCTAGAACTAAATGGGTCTGTGACCCACGGGGGCAAGCAAATTTACAACAACATTTCAGTATAAACACCATCCTTTTCATTTCTCATTATGACATTATGACTTCTCACACAGGACTGCTGCCCCAGCAGCACTTCCCTAGCAGTGGTCCCAAATGCCAACAGCCTAAAACCCAAATTCATGTTCAGAAATCCCCTCAGCTGGACATTTCTGTCTCCAAGCTGAGATGTAAGAGCTAGGCATGCAATGTCTCCTTGTCTGATTAACAGGAAGGGGAACTGCTGATTGAGGTTCACTTTGAACTCTCTGTACCTCAATTGCCTAAGGAGATCGTTTGTGTAAGGCAAATGCACCGACCAGTTGAGGCACACAAAAACAGTAGCTTCAGAGAATGATGCCCTGTCCTCCAGGAACTCAAAAGAAGAGTACTGCAAAGAGCTCTAAGAAGTATAAATGTGTTAATTATTCTATTTTTATCAATACAGCATGCCTATTTTTGTTGTGAATGAAATAATGCAGATTGCTAAAACCTGCTTGTGCTAACAGTCAAACTGCTGTTTCCCTGCATGAATCTGACAAACTATATTTCCTGCAGAAAAATGAAACTCCTTGTTCCAAGACCAATAAAATGCGTGGAAAGTTACCTTAACTATGGGCTGATGCTCAAAGTGTTGGACCTGTATGATTCCATCTACTCTGGAATCAGCTGGGTAGAAATCTAACAGGCCACTTAGAATCAATTAGAATCAATACAGCATGTAGCTTTGTGACTTCAGTGCAGATAAATGAACTGTCCATATATCCATGCCACATCTGAATATGGAAATATTTTAGATTTGAACTCTGAATTAAAAAAAAATAAAAATAGATAGTCCTGAACTACAGAATTAGAGGGTTCTAGATTTAGAATTACAGCATTTTGAAATGAAGCGGGCATGAGATTTTCACAAGCTTGTGCAATGGAAGAGCAGTGGATATACCTTGCCACATGAGGTATGACAGAGCAGCAGGGAAGGTTTTTACCTGTCAGACTTTGCTTGAATAAACATGTTTTGTCTTTCACTAAAAACAGTTTAAAGGAAAATATTAAGACTACATCTCAGTATCACACAACCAAATAAAAATATGGTACAGGAAGCCAGAAGGGGGAGCAACAATCCGGGTATTTGTCAATGGCAGCAGGATACAGAAGATGCGAAAGTTGTAAAAAATGTGGTAAAACACTTTTTGGGGGCTGAACCCTGAGCCCTCGGTAAGTAAAACAGTTCAAAGAAGTGAAAATGCACATGACTCAAGGAATCTGCAGAAAAATAGGAGATTAAAGTACAGATGAAACAAATTTAGACCTCTGTATTCATACCAGCAGAGCCACTTTGATTTAGAAAATATTCTCACTGATACTTCTGAGAGTGCTGTACTGAAGCACTAGGCTCTTACCATTTCCAGCATGTTTAATGGAGTATATCAAGGACTCCTCGCTTAGAATCCTAAACATGTAGTATTTGAAGCATGCCTAAAAATTGTCCAAGTACAAGCAAAAAGATATCAAACCACTCCAAAGACACTTGTACAGTAGTGTGCTGCTGCACAGCACTCATACCCTATACATAGTCAAGATACAGCTAACACGAATATAGGGGTTATCCAGACTGGAGTGGAGTGGAGACTGGTTTGGAGTACTGAGAAAATTGCAGATAGATCCAGACAACTGCTGTAGAAAAGAATTTTGTCATTAGAAACACTGGCTTTATCAATAACTGATAACTGGGCATTGCAGATACGGGTAGAAATTTCAAGTTCTGGGGTTACTTCGTGATGAACCAAGCTTGGACAAGTGCAGAGTTTGGCAAGAAACTGTCTTTATATCCAGTATAATCTGTGGTGATCAAATATAAATGCTGAACAGCTGAGATTTCACAGTGATTAGAGAACTCACAATAACTGCCCAGTGTGAAGGAAAGTGCAACTTCGATCTTCAAACTGCAAGTGAGATTAACAGACACTTAACATCTGCAGCAATATTGTTTCTCAACTCATTCTGGATGCAAGCATGCTAGAAATACCAGTAGGAACACCAGTGACCAGGTACAGGATTTTCGTGTTTACAGTGAAGGAAGCCACTTCATAAAAGCCTTTTTGGTGCTGCAGTCTAGCAGTGAGTTTGATAGGTACTGTTTTAGTATCATCTAACATATAATATTCTTACCCATGGCAGGAGTTGCTAGTGTTTGTCGGCCTACTAATTGTGCAGGTCCAAGTCCATCAAGGAAATCACTGAACTGACTGTCAGCGCCCAGCCGTACCCCAGGAAATATTAAGCTGAAAGAAAGTAAAAGCGGATTAAGCATAAGATCAGGATTAATTTCCATTGCCATACAGTATTTCCCTGCAAAATACTTCTTACACAAGGCAAGCAGCACAGAATGTGCAACCATAAAATGTTCTGCAGTGTCATGAAATGCAGAGGCCTATTACTTTACATTCCTGAGTGTCTGATTTAATTTTTAATACAATTTTGTATGGATAGACACATCCAAATGTCATCTGCATCAGTTAGGATAAACAAGGAAAAGCAATGCAAACATTAAATGCACTGATTGTTGCAGCTGAAGCCATAAGCTGGCACATAACACTAGTGGGGATGAGACCTAAACCTAATGTCCACCCTATTTCAGGACTGAACTGCATTCACACAGACTATATGTGCATTTCCAAACTGCTTTCTATTGAACGCATATACATTCTCCAAACAATAATAAAACAAAGAAGTGAAAAAATTCAGAGGAAGAATAATCCATAGTGGGGAAACTCAGCTTCAGCTTCCCCATCACAATCAGCAGGAACAGTAGAATGGAGTCTGAACTAAGTCTGGATAGCATCTTACCCAGTAGGCTATCCACCATTCTGCATCTATTTCTCTCAAAGGAAATTTACAGTTAGACTCAATAAAAGAGTAACACAACTTCCTATTTAAAGTATCTAGTGTGAAAAGCTTTGTTTTCCAGATATAAGATTTATCTGATCCATACAATTCACAGCAAGCCACAGTTAGTGGGCTACAAAAAGTCCATTCCTCTCTTCAAGACTAACTGTTCTCACAATGTTTGCACAAAGATATTGACTGTCTGTAACTAAAACTGACCAGAAAATATCAGCACAGTGCTTTTCATTAGAAAACTTTGATTTATCAAAAGATGAGATTTTCACAGAAGTTTAAAGAAATCTTATTTAAGTTTTCTTTAGGTGGAGGAGAAAAAGAATGTTAGAAGCCTCCAGTTCAGCCATTAGCCTCCCAATACTGGCAGTAACCTAATTCCAAGATTCAGGTTCAAGCTTCATGCTATGCTTGTCAAACCATCCAGTCTGCTTCTTCCCCCAGTGGCACTACTCACCACTCCTGCAGCTGCAAGAAATAGTTTCTTGCTTGTTTATTGTCATTTTTCCCCAAAATGCCTGTTACATTTTGCTGAAGAATTACTAGGATTGAAAATCATCAGTGTTCTCATTTTTTAGACACCTCTAAGTACACAAATAACAACAAATGGTATGAAGTACTCTATTCTCTTTAATAATCATGAATTGCAACTCATAAAACTCTAATTATAGCTCGAGCAGAAGAACATAAGGTGATACCTGGGGTATCTAGTGTAGGACTATGTGATTTCAGCTGAGCTATTTATCTGCTCATTATTGTAAAATGCAGGATGAGGCATGATACTACCTATACATTAACTACGGGACTTTGCAATTAATGGCAGTATCATAATGCACACACACAGGGAAGGGAAAATTGCCCATGCAAATTCAATACAAACACCTCCTAATTGCCATAATTACCTGCCTACTGTAAGGGTGAACTGCAAACAAAATACTATTCAAGTAACCAAAGTCAGGCTCCTGTGGATGCCTCATCAAAATGATGGGACCCTCATGGGAGACAGGATAAAAATTTCAACCCACAGTACTACATCCTGTTAAAGGTATCTTACTCTTCCTTCATTGCAACAATTTTGCAACAAACTATATTTAACTTTTTAACCTGAGTTTTATTATCTGCCTCCTTTGGACCATTACCCTCAGCTTCCCTTTAGAGCCTCTGTTAAATATCACTGTTGTTCTCACTTCACTAGCCTCACTGTTACTTTTCTCTTGCCAGGGACTGGAATAGGGATGTTAGAGACCAGGGACAGTGGTTAAGGTTAAGGTCAATTGCAAACTGAGTCAGGGAACAAATCGCAGGCATCCTGATCATCAGGAATCAACCAGAAGCCTTTGTAATTTTATCAGTGTGGGGCTCCCATCTCTTCAGTACTGCTCACCAGAAAAATAGGCCAGTCTCCAGTCCCTTAAAGGAGGAATTCTTCATTGCCATGGTGAGTGGAGCCTTTCAGACTGGCAGTTTATTGTAGAGAGATGAAGGATAGGAAGATGGAATGCTGAAGGGCAAAGGTAGTGCCCTATCATCTGATGATGGACTAATTGCACCTTTACACTTCTCCTTGCCACCATCATGGCTGACTGGCTCTTCATCCCTCTTAAAAACTATCAGTTGTGTAATAGTGTAAGCACTTAAAAAGAAGAAGCCAAAGAAGTCCCTATTGTCCATTTTTTATCTGGTCTGTAAAACAGAATTCCATACCTTCAGTTTTCACTTTTGCACGGGACAACTTGTAAGAATTCTCTGGTGACCACTGAGCCTTTGCACACAAGCTAGAGTCCTATTGGTATCTGTAGGGATGCTACAGTATTTATTCACACTTTTGTGTCTAACTGGCTTTTGTTATCCTTTCCTAGAGGCTCAGTCATTCAGCAGTGAATGAAAACAGCTGCCCATTTACCCACAGTTGTGTGCACGGTTTTAGCTGATGGTGCGGTTGAAGTCTGGTTTTACAATTCTCAATAAGAGACTTGGACCAACTCCAAACTAAACTCTCTTTGTATACAGTACTACTGAACACAGTTTCATATCACAGGGATTTACACACAACATCTGAAGTTTAACTCCAAGTTAATCCAAACACAACTCAAAGACGAGTTTTGTTTTGAATAATGCAGTCTGAATTCAGTTCTCTTTTGATGAACAAAATGTCTCACAGGATAGCAGGGAAAATGTGAAACTCAAAGAAGTCCTCTTTCAATCTTGATCTTCAACATATTACATGCCCTGAATTGTTTAGTTTTGCTAACATTTTCTCAAGAAGAAGAATCTGCACACATACCTATCCCCTCAGCCCAAGCTGGCACCTCTGTTCACATCCCAAGCTTTCTTTAAAAGACAAGAGGTTTTTCTTACATTACTGCACTTTTAATGCCACTTACTTGCCCTCAGAGCTGTAACTATTTATGCTGCCATCAGTGGATTCTCGACTTGGCTGTCGAACCATACGACTTCTCATCTCTGCAGCCATTCCTGTCTCTGTGCTTCTTTGTATCGTGCTCTTTAGCTTCTTATTGCCAGCCTCTGAAAGCAGAGAGAAATAAAAAAAATGTTAGAATGACAGTCTAGCACAAAGCCTTTCCTTGCAGTTTTCTGCAACAGAAGTAATGCAATGTCTCTTCTTCAGATGAAAACTGGTCATGGTTTCTCTTTAAAAGGGCTGACACCCTCTATTAATGTGCTATTATTAATCTTCATACAACTAGAAAGTAGACAGGATGACTTTGATAGTGCATGTTAACCATAAACTTGGTAAGATGTACATCACCACATTAGGTTAGGGGAATACAAATTTATGACTGTCTCAGGAAAAAAGAAGAAACAAAATTCTTTGTGCATTCAACAGAAAAATTTTAAGCACTAAAACACTTGGTATCAAAAACATAATAACATATTTTCACACAGCAAAATCCCATTTTTCACCACAAAGTAATTAGTGAGTGCTACATAATTTCTAAGCAGAATAATCTTTTAGGAATCCCCTTGGAAGACTATGAAGTCCACAGAACTTGAGTTTGCAAATGAATGCTACAAAGTGCATTTCATGAAATCACTGAGCAGCTCGATATGTTTGGAAAAGTTTTCATCACAGTTTTTTTAAATTTAAATTTAAAATCCTTTGAGTTCCACTTGTAAGCTTCCAGGTCATCTTGGAGCAGGGAGAGCTTCCAGTCCCTTCCAGGCGCAGTTCAGAGCTCCAGATGTAACAGCCAATTTACAATGAATTCTATTCCAAATCTTATGCTTCCAAAGAATGGCAATTATTTAATAATCTTTAACTGAAATACTTCTACCAAAGTCTCTACGTAACACAGAAATCTGCGTTGCCTTCAGTTCAGTGCCCTCCTCATTTTCTTTTAATTCAGCCTCTCATTCAACGGGTAACACAGATCTCTCAAGAAACAGTAGATATGACAAGGTTTCACGTGAACAAACGCAGAAACCTTCTCCTGCATTTTCCTCTTCATTTAAGTCATATGTTCATTCACTGTCTGTGAAGTTTCTATTTTCTTTCTGCATTCTGCTTTCAGGAATACCTCGAAAAAAAAAATTCTTCCATCTTCTCCTGCTACAGAGGCTGAAAACTTTTTCACTTTCCTATTTCACGCAGACATTGTTGACGTTTGGCTATGACAGATTTTCGTCACACTTCAGACAGAAGCCAGAAATCTTGTAGCCCTACCATAGCTTCAACTTTCTGGCAGATGTCTGGCCTTTGCTCTTTGGGTCTTCAGAACTGGTGCAGAGCAGGGAGAAATCCCATAGGATAGAGCAGCTCTTCCTCTCCAAGGCTTATCTTCTCTTTGGTGCTATCAGAGAAGATGGATAACATGGCCAAAACAAAAAAGAATTTGTATACAGAGTGAAGAAGAGACACTGTCACATCAAAAAAGGCTGTGGTTTTTCTTGTAAACTTTCTATTTGAGTGGTTGTTTATTTATGGCCACCCAGAAGCAGGGAAATAAGTACCTCTCAGTGGAAGAAATCAGCTACCTACATACAGCCTCAGACCTTTTACTCCCTTTTGAGGAAACAGTTCTGTGGTTTTCCTGAGTGCTTTTGTTGCAACATATCCAAATTTCCAGTACTTGGTGAGTTAAAAATGCATTATTCAATGCCTTGAATCATGGAGAAGACTGGGCTAGATGAGGATCTACTCCCAGACAATGTAGTTGGCTGTAGAGGGTACTTCATAAAACTTAAGCGACTCGAAATATAGGAAAGCATAATACAACATTTTGAACCTATGCTTTACCTTAAAAAACAACAACAAAAAAAACCCAACAGATAATGTGCACACCTATATTCTAGCATGTCAATGCTGAAACATACGATGAGCATCAAAAAATAATCAAAAGACAGTCTAAGATATAAAACCCACAAGCAGACTCTTACGACGAAGAATTCTTGTATTTCCAGTAGGTATGTATTTGCCACCCATGTTGTCTTTTACTTCTCTCTTCTCTGAAAGTGTCTCTGTTTCCATCTGTTCCCACAGAGCAGGTCAGATTATATAGTTTAAACCCTGCAATGTTTACTGCAGGCAGTCAGATCAGACAGCATGACCGGAAAGATAAAATACAGTAGAGCCTGAAAAGCAAGCATCTGAATGGAAGTGCCTGTGAATATTTATGGCTCACAAAACTTGAGAGATGAGACACTAAGGAACAAGACTATCATGACCTTGGCACAAGGCAAGGAGAGAGATGCTGATTCAGGCCACCTGAACAACGTGGTGAATGTGGAAATCCATTAATGAGAGACAGTTTGCTTGGAAAGTATAATAAAAAGCAGATTCATAGAAATAATCACTATACACATTTCTTTTCCACTGACTAAATTAAAAAACAAACAAACAAAAAAGCCCCCATGATTTTAGCTTAGAGCACGGTGGAGACTGAAAATTGCAAGTGGTTTTTCATGTAAGAGTAATTTAATATTATCATAGATAAAATTCATGTTGCTGCTTGAACATGCTTCTTAGCACCACAGATGTTAAATGCATAGACTGTGCAGGACAAATCCTTGCACAAACCCACAGTTTCATCTGACTGTGCCGTATATATCAGATTGTCTGCTTCTGAATGCTTTTAAAGTTGCTTCTCTCTGCCTTACTGTTCTGGATTTCACTTCTTGTTTTCCCCATCAACTTTTTTTTTTTTTTTTTTTTTTTTTGGTTGAAGATTAGGAAAAAAAAAAAATCTTTGCCTCCTCCTGTAACTGTTACCAATATCTGCAGTGTTACTTAGGAAAATAAGCGTCATTGTTCAGATTTTATTTTACAATCTCAATCTTAATATTCTGCAGTACAATAAAATATAACATAAAAGTCACCCAAGACAGAATGGCAAAATGCATGAATTTTATGGCATAAAGAGAACTGCTTTTGCCCAGGACTAAGAACTGAAACACACATTTCATGGGTTTTTAAAGTTTTACAGGTCAGTTATGCACATTGTGGGTTTTTTTATTTTCTATTTTTTTTAATGCCTACTGCAGCACAAGAAGAAATGAGAACAATTTATCTCAGCAGCACACTCTGGTAACCTTCTCAGGAAAGCCTTGTTCTGCACGGCATGAGGTGGTTAAAGCAGAGCTGAGTTGGGACCTTCTACTATTTCTGGAGGGGGTCAGGTAATGCAGAGTCACTCTGGGGTGCAGCTGCCAGTCCTGTATTGACTGCACAATGAGGGGTGGGATCTGATCAACTACCAGTGTTTCTCTGGCTCCTTGTAACGTGCACTTTTCTCCACTATCATTTTTGTCTTGTATTGTATTCAGGCTAGCAGTTCTGCATATAGCTTTGGAACCCTGTCTTTACATGAACAGTAGAAGTTCATTAAAAATTTAAGTTCAATATCTACGCTGTGGTACACTGAGAAGATTTTCTACTCTTGTCTGAATATTTATTGAAGAGCACTTGGTCCTGATGCTGATTTGTATTAGTTTGATATGTACAGTTAAATTTTATAATATGTGACAGTTATTTGCCTGCACTGTATAAATTGCATTATACTCACTGTGCAGACTGAAGATAAACTGTCTCTATACTGAATACCATCTAGGGGAAAAATGAATTCCAAAATGTGCTGTATAATTCTATCCACTCTGTCTATTGTGTAAGGCTTTCTTTGAGCAGAAATGCAGATTAATGTGCATAAATATCACTCACACAAACACATAGTTTAACAGGTATAAGCTAGAGAAAAATGATTACAGAGCAATTGTGATAAACATTTTTGCACGTTTGATAACAAATGCAAAAGGATCATAAAACAGTCATCTGTAGCTGTAAGACATACTTGGCTTGCACACTTTTTGCCATTCATTATCAGCCCTGTTGTAGCTGCCCTGCTACAACATACCAAGGAGCATGTGGCATTTGCTGGTTCATTCTACATCTTATAAAAAGAGTTTATAGTGATTTTTTACTCCAACAAGAAAAATGTTAATGCAATTGACGTATTCCAATTTCTGTACTTTTTAATCACCTCCAAACATAGCACCTAGGGGAAAAAAATGCTACTGACAACAGAACTATATTAGCAAGAAAGACTCAGTGATAGTACCTATAGAAACAGGATGGCCTACTAAAGATATTTCAAGGCTAGATTTACATTTCTACAGGCATCCAATTCAGAGAGAACAATGCAAAGACAAACAGCTTTGTATCACCTGTATCCCTGTAGAGTCATGACTGCTCAGTGCATCACCGTTGTCCAGGCTCTCTATGGTCTATGTATGTGCCCGTAAACAAAACCGCCATTTTCGCCCTTTTTTCAATATAAAAAAAGTCTGAGAATATCTAACGGAGATGTGCCACAGCCTGCTTTTATGGAATTAAGCTTTTATGGTGCAATGTAAAAGTGTATATTTGATGCCATGGGACATTTGGGGACACAAACTTGGTGACTTAGTCAATAGGATGCTTTAGCAGATCTCTGTAGGACAAAAAAAATGACATGGATATTTGTACTACTGATGATGAAAGAGACACCTTAAGAATTGCCCAGAATCTCACATGAGAACAACTAGTTAGATAGCACCAAAAAAACAAAGAAGATATGAGTATGTAGTATGTAAAACTGATGACCTATTCAAAAGAACACTAAAGAAAGCAAAGCATGCACCATTGCTCAGTCCACTAAAGGAAGTGATTACAAGTCAGGTGCTGATAATACCACTGCCTGACTCAAGGGCAATTCAAGGTTTCAAGCATGCTCTTGGGCATGAGGAAGAAAGCCTAAAAGGACTACAGTTCCAAGCTGGGTCTGACTGCAGCCTGGCTGGGTTGTGGACATATTGCTGGCCTGCACATTGCCTGTGTGACCACGTCACACCAGGAGGACTATGCCAACTGAAATATCATGGGTCACCCTCAACTGAAGGAAATACGAGAAAACAAAAGCCAAAGGGCACATTTCCTTTCTAGTCCTTTCTAATGTGTTACTTTGCAGCCCCAATTCTGACTGCTGGAAGACCTGCAGAGTTATAAGTTGTAACTTGTTCCACTCGCTCTGCAT